AGGGATCGAATCCAGGACCTCTCGATTGACTGAATATCCTCGATCCTTACGCTATATTTCCTACAGATGCATCCAGTAAAATCCGAAACATAGTCACTGTGTCGAGTAAACTCATTGAAGACTTTGCAACCGTTAAATAATTTTATCTATATTTTTACATTAATATGAATACCGATAAAAATAGTTTAAGAATTTTATGAAAAACTCAAGGTTAAGTAGACACATACAAATATGCCCTGATATAACCTGTCTTAACTTATCAAAGTTATCTGTCAATTCTTGAACCCTTTAAACTTGAAACTCTGGTTTGCAGAACGCTCGTTAGCAGTTAAACAGTGCATCAGACCTCATGAAGAGTGGCTCGAGTGCGGAAACGCATGTCAACCATCATGTGACAACCTCTACCGTATGCAGGAGTGTTCTGACAAGTGCGTGGCCGGCTGCTTCTGTGTCAAGAACTTCCTGCGAGAGAACAAAGAAGAAAATTCCCCATGCATCTCGCGGTTCGACTGTTCCAAGAGATATTTTCGACATCGACGCTGATCAAAGCAGCTTTGTCAAATTGACAGTGATGAAAAATGCATTGTTGTCTGTCTAGTCCTTCAAGTCTTTCAATAAATAGAAATGCGAAGGAAGAAAGTTTAACTGCATTATGATTTGTTCCGGCCAATTTTTAAATCACCAATACCCACTACTGGCGGCAATTTTGCAAAAGCATATGAAGCTGATATTCTCGATCAACTCGATCTCCGCGAATCCGTCGACGAAGATGGGTAACTGTTAAAGCAAGGGATTGTATGTTGGGTCCCGGTATGACTAGAGCAACTTTCTTTACAGAAAGAGCTTGCCATGACCTCTGAAACGGTCGATTATTCAAACAATCATAATCACAAGTTCACTGAACTCGCAAAACTAACATCTACTTTAAAAGAATATACTCCATCTATGCCTCCCAAAACGCTTTCCTGAAAAATGGAGGCGTCGAGTAACTGCCCGTATATTTGAAGCAGCATGAGCAACAAAATGCCATAGCTGTTGTGACGTTACTCTATCGTCAACGGGAGGCTGTTCACTTGGGATATC